GTGCCCATTAGCAGATGAATGGATTAAAAAACTGTAGTACATCTACACAATGGAATACTATGCTGCTATAAAAAAGAAGGAACTCTTATGATTTGCCACAGCATGGATGGAGCTGGAGAGCATTATGCTAAGTGAAATAAATCAGTCAGAGAAAGATCAATATCTCATATTCTCACTCATTTGTGGAATATAATGAACAATATAAACTGATGATCAAAAACAGATCCAGAGACAGAGAAGCATTGATCAGACCATCAAACCTCAGAGGGAAGGCAGAGGAGAATGGAGGGATAGGGGAGAGATCAACCAAAGGACTTGTATGCATGCATATAAGCATAACCAATGGACAGTCACCAGGGGGGTGAGAGCATGAGGAGGGGCAATGGGAGGATAAAGACACATATGTAATACCTTAATCAATAAAGAAAAAATTTTTTTTAAAGATTCATAGTGGGAATTTTAAAAAATTAACCCTTATCACTATTATTTGGATTAATTCTCAGATGTTATATGCCTGTACAAAACTACTCTTTTGAAATGCAAATAAATACACAATGTTAGCAATAGTATGAGAATTTTGCTTTCTGTCTTCATACCTATGACAAGAATGATTTTTGGCCGAGGTCTAGTAGGATCAAAAACCTCATATTCTTCAATTAACTCTGCAGTCTCGGAGAGGTCTGTATCACTTTCTATGGAGAATTGGTGGATTGGAGGGAGCCGATCATACCGCCGATACGGAAAGTTTGAATTTTCAGGCATTACTGCAAAAGAGTAAGACAACTTTGAAACGGAAAAAAAATAGCATAATAAAACATTTTTTTTTTGCACGTACTCAATTAGTAAACAAGATTTAAAAACTAAATGAGTTTGATTTTTTTTTCAACTTGAGCAAGACCCCATCTCATAAGTGGTTAGAAAACTTTTTCGTAAAGGATCAAAGTCATTCATTTGGGCTTAGAGGAACATACAGTGGATATTCTTTAGAAAATTCTGGGAAGGGCTACAACAGGAAAGGCACTGACAACAGTATCCTGTTCTGTCTTGAAATTGAATTACGTCACCCAACACAGGTAGATAATGTAAACTAGGCAGTATCCTTGATTACTTTCTTCCCTCACTCTTCATGTCTACTCCCAGAGATTAGCTCCAAAGTATTTCCCAAATCCATCTCTACTACCACAACTCTTCTCCAAGCCGTCATCATTTACCTAAACTCTCAAAGGTCTGCCTTCTTCCACGCTGTCCCCACAATTCATTGCCTAAAATATTCTTCCTCTGTTGGTCCCATGGCTGACTGGGAGGACCCTATCTATCTGGAGCTCAGTATCCCTGGGATCTAGAACTGCGCTTGGCACAATCAGTGTCCAATAAATATTTGTTGAGTCATTAACAAAGAGAACAGCGTTGTTGAAATAGACAGTTTCCCGTGAGAAAAGCCAGAAGATGGGCAGGTAGAGTGTGGGTACAGCATGGAGGGCTTTGAATATCAGAGTAAAGGTGTTTAGCTTTAATTTGGTAGAAAGCCAGTGGAGAGTTTATTTTGGGGGAGGGGGGTGTAGAAAAATGGCACGATGAAATTGAAAATTTTTAAGGAAAATTAATCTGGTGGTGGTTAGAATGGATTTGAGTAGGGAGAGACTAGGAGCAGAAATCGTAGCAGCTTAGAGGCTGTTAAAGTAATCCACAGGTGAGAAGTAAAGGATCAGCTTAGCAGGATAGTAGAAGAAATGGAAATGAATGTCTGGATATTCATGGTTAGAATTGGGATAAGAGAAATGAAAGGAGGTGACAGTTCAAAAACAATTGCCAGGTTTCAAGTCTGAAAAGATAAGAAATGCGTTGCATTTCATATAATATCTTTCTGTCCTTTCTTCTCTGTTCTGGGAATACTGAGCTTCTTTCATTCCTGTCTCTATCATAGCCTCTTCTCTACGTCAGGAACTTCTATTCTCTCTCTGTTCGCTGTGTACTTCAACATCCATCCTTCTCTAACATCTACATGGCTTACTGTCTCTGAGGATCAGCATGTCACTTCTTCCAGGAAGTGCATCTTGAACCCCATATGGCATTTCCTATAGCACCCATTGTGCTTCTAAGTATATTTTTAATGCTTGACTTCCTTACTAGGCTGTAAGCTCCATGGGGGCAGGTGCCATGTTTGTTCTTTCTTGGTGTCTACATGCTCAGTCGTAAGAGTTTGACACATAATACTCAATAAATGGTTATTTTATTGCTCAACTTGACTCACTGACTGACTTCATGAAAATAGGAAAAGGAGAAGGGAGTGCTGGTTTTGAAGCAAATGTGGTATGTTTGTATGTTTGATTTTGGATATGTTGAGTACAAGACGACAAAGCGATAGTCCAGAAGAGAAATGCTATGTGCATTTGGAACTATGGGACCAGAACTCTTATTCACAGGTTATTATTTGTTCAATTGTATACATATAGCAGAAAAAAGCACATGCTTATCTCACATTTATAGTAATATGCTTTAAAGAACTTCGGCCAATAATTTATCCTTTTTTTTTTGTCATATTTTTACTTAGGGAAGTAATTTGCTTAAATGATTAAAATGTTTTATGTCATAGAATAATTTTGCATGGTAATTACATATTAGCATAGCTATGTCAATATTTTACCAAGAATGCATGAATAACTTTTTATTCCTAGAAATAATCATAATGCTTTAAATTACTGTGAAGTTAGCAATTTTGTTGAATTGAAAACCCATTCAATAAATTATATCTAAAACCTATAAAGCACAAATGGGTAAAGCATTTCATTAAATAAAATTTTATTATCACAAGACAAATCCTTGTCTGTTTTGCAGCATACATTCTAGAAAAAGGACAGTATGGTACAACATTCTTGTCACTATAGTACATGGAAACGTTCTATTTGATGATTAATTTTTTAAAAGGGGGACATCTGTTATACTTTCAACAATAACAGTAACTTCTTTTAAATTTTATTTTTTATAGTGGTGGCACTGATGGTATTAAAAAACAATGTCAGGTGGTTGTTGTTTTTTCATCCAACACGGTAAGAAAACTAAACAATGACTCATTTTTCTCATTCCTTCTGAAACAGAAATCAGGCATTTGTCTTTGTGCTAAACTTAATCTTTCCAGTTCCTAAAATGTTCATAATTAGTTTCCAACCTCAAAAGAAAAGTCTCTGAGTGGGAATTCTGGTGACTACTAACAGGTATGGAGGCTAAAATAGACAAGCAATTTTAATTCTAATGAAAGTTAAACCTACATTTTCCATTCCTATTTTAGCTTCTTCTGCCAGATCAGGAGTTACAAACTGATCATTTTGGGGCACAAAAAGAGTCTTATAGAAATGTTTTGTGCAGCTTGACATTTTTTCAAATTTTGTTCTTGTCTTTCGACCAGGGGTGGGGAACGTCTGGCCTGAGGGCCGTATAAGGCCTACGAAATCAATTGGTCCGCCCTGCAAGGCAACTGCAGGTGAGACTCAAAATTCAATAAATCTAGGAGCTTTTTTCATAGCAACATAAATTTATATTAAGCAGATGATTTTACAAATATCCTTTGGCAAATACCTTTAAGCTTTTTTCATAGCAACATAAATTTATATTATGCAGATGATTTTACAAATATCCAAATGGCCTTTGGCAGAAAAAAGGTTTCCCACCCCTGCTCTCTGGTTCTGCCCTCTAGTTTGACCACAGTCCCCACTACTTGCTATTACACACTGGCCTGTCTGGCTTCTATGTATAATCAAGCCAAGTAACAGTATAAAATAGAGACAGATTTCATGTGTTGTAAAACTGTCACTTTATATACTCAGTCTAAGAGCAGACTTTCAACTAAGAGAATATCATATCCTCTTAGAATTAAATTTAAAAAGGTAAAAATTTCTTAGACTAAACCCACTACTATCTGAGGTTTGTTAGTGCTTTAAGGTTTAGAAAGCAGTTACCCATATTAGTCTCACTTGATTTAACTAGGGCCTGGGGCATGTATTTAACATTGAGCCAGATTCTAACAATATGATGTAAATTAGTCATTTTGGGAATGTGTATAAACTCTTCAGACCCATGAAAATATCATTTTTTCCCCCGAAGCAGTAATTTACTATGTGGTGCGTCGCAGCGGTAACTGGCAAAAGGTGCTCTCTTAAGCATCCAATCCCAGATCCCCCAGCGATGACTCCTGCATGGGCAGGGAAGGATTCTTCTCTCTGGAGATGTTTCTGAGCCAAGGTTTCTGCTTTCCCTCTCTGCTTGTGTTTCTTAAAAATTAACACATTTGACTTTTTCCCACACTGCATTCAGATAAAACCCAAGTGGGTCATGACTAAGTAAGATAAATTAGGATTTATTTCCCCTGGTACTTATTGCAAATGGAATGATGTTCACTTCAAATTCTGTCTATATAGCTGAAATTTTGCACTGGTACAATTTTTGAGAATGGTTTGAATTTAGAAAATATAATGATCTTGGCTACTGGGAAAGAATTAATTTAGTTTCCCCTGACTGGAACTGATTCCATTTTGCATGTACTATTTTACATCTCAATTTCATGCAGAGTCTAAAAGGCTTGTTGGCTGACGCTGAACCACTAATTCTGATAAGCAGCTATTTCAGAAAGTTATCAGAATACCATGAATCTCTTCTAGCAAATTAGCATCACACTATTCCTAAAATTGTTAAACATGTTCATGTCTTCTATTTCTTTCATAGCACCCAAATGCCTAATGTAATGTATTGCATTCAGTAGCTGCTTAATAAACCCTGTTGAATTAACAAGTATAAACCTTACATGCATTTATGCAGATGCATTAATATGAACTCTGAATTTGAAAACATATTAATAAATCAAATCTCTTCCCAGCTAGTAATAACTATCATTTTTGTCTATCATCTCATTTATTTGGAAAAGTCTTATTTGCAATTTCAAGAACAATGCATAGTCTGCTAATGCAATTCATTTCACAAAGTAATGACATCAGTAATATAAAATTCCATTTATAGTTAAGTGCTGGACAATGGTATGTGATTTTGTTTGTCTTATCACAGAGGTGATTAGAATTAGCAGAGAGAGATGAATCCTATTCCAGGGTCAAATACCCTTCCACGAGTTTGGAAACCCAATACATTAAATCATTGCCTACAGTTTATATGGTGTGTTTTAATGAGAAATATAGATGTCTATTATTCTGCATATACATTACCAGATCTTAGGAAGGATCTCCGTGACTGTCCTCCGTTGAGCGGAGGTAAAGTCTTCTTTTCCTGGCTGACAAATGTATCCCATTTCACCTTGTCACAGCCGCCTAGTTCCTTCACTTTCTGTAAACAACTTTCCAAGTACTCTACTGGGTCTTCAGGCTTAGAACACATCAGTCCATTCAAAAGGCTCTGAAATACAATAAAATGTTTTAAAATCGCCTTTGTTAAAATAGTGTATGCCCCATCTCTAAATTCCTGGTTGTTTTTGTTCTTTGCATTTGTCTTTTAATAAATACTTAAGAGTTGAAGTTATTGTCTGGTTAAGACAATTCCTTAAATTCTTGACCAATTAGTTTTCAGCTGAGCATTCTGGGCTTTTTAAATGATGAAGGCAACTATCTAGCTTAAAATGGAACAGTTCTATTAAAGGCTCCAGACTGCAGTTTCTTCCTGTATAAAATAGGAGTAATAATACCTACCTCAGAGGGTTCTTTAAGGACTAAAAACTAAATATTTGTCAAATTCATAGTAAGTGCCTGGCACATAGTAAGGGCTCAATAAATGTTGTTGGTAGTTTTAGTTAATATTATTATCATTATGAGATAATGTCCCCTGAGCCCTCAGGTTGGCTTATGGAGCTCTTCTTCTATGTTCTGAAGGTACACAGAAAAAGGAAACTTACCTGTCGTTTATACTGAAATCATCAGTGTACATGCTAGTCTCCTTATTTAAACTATAAGCCTTTCAACAACACAGTGTTGGTCTTGTTTATTTTTCAATCTCCTGCCCCTAACATATTCTCTGATCATAGTAGGTGCATATTGAACAGTTTTCTAATTAGGAGAAACACTTCACTGAAAACATGAAGTCTGAGACTCAAAAAAATGTTATTTGATATATAATAAGTCACTATAATAAGCAGAGATTGCAGAGGGGGAGAAAAAGCACGATCCTGTATTGCTTTTTTCTTTTCCTAGTGTCTGATGTGTTGCATGTACTAATTTCTAAAAATGCCACCACTTTGGAAATGTTGGCTCCTAGAAACTAGACTGGTGTGAAAAATATTTTCCATTAGAGTATTTCATGGAAAAAGCACTGGGGATTATGATAACCAATGTACATTATTAATGCCTAAAACACCCACCCTTTAAAAGGCTGAAATCTTTCCTAAGTACAGTATTCTATTTTCAAATTATTCTGGTGCAATTTGCTCAAAATGGTAGGCAATTCTTACTACGTACATTTTCTCTAAATAGT